TTGATGGTTCATATACACGTATATGGTCATTGTCAGGTAATCGTGGTAATCAATGGTATGAAGGACAAGTCTCATATGTTTCCATGGTTCCACATCAACTTATTGTCGAAGCTATTGCCGGAAACGATTCTTTGGTAAGAATCACAATTCATTTATCTATTTTCATTTTTGAATTTGAAATTTTGTTTTTAATTTAGGGAACTATCGCAATTGATGATTTTACATTTACAACAAGTAATTGTTCAATTCGACCAATAGATACTACAGTATCAACAATTGGAACAACACTTCCATCAACACTATTAACAACAACTACACGATATACTGACCCTCTAACAACAACTACATCATCTACAGATTCACTAACAACATCGTATATAGACCCACTAACAGCAACCACTAGAGTGTCTGCAACTGAATCTATAGGAATAGTAACTACAATAATTGATACCGCTCGAACAACTGAAGCTACATCTTCAGGAATGCTAACGACAACATCTAGTATAGCTCAAATAACTACAACTACTTATACTGGTAAAAATTTTCTTATTTTAAAGAAAAAAACAATCTCATTCTTTTTACTGTGACCAGAATGTGCTCAATATGCTTGCTTTAATGATGGTATCTGTAAACCATCATCAACACAAGTTCGTAAACAAATATGCGAGTAAGTTTCTAGTCTTAAACCGATATATATATATATATATATTTATTTATTTCTTCATCGAACAAAATTTTCTTAAAGATGTAAACCTGGTTTTCATGGTCCACTATGTGAAAATAAAGAAACATCATTGATAAACAATAATTGTAACTAAAATTTTCTTTATATTTATCAATTACTTTATTTCATTTCAATATTTCTAGTGGGTGCTATCTTGGGTGGAGTTTTTGGTGGACTTACTGCTATTGCTTTGGTTATTGTTGGGTATATCTATCTTTCGTCGAAAAAGCGTGCAGCGAGGTTTGCATGAAAAAAAAATTATTTTTCACTTAAAATTATTTATCACTTTGTCATGTCTTTTGTAGAATTGCAGCTACAAGTGCACAATTAACTAATTCATTACCAAATGGTTCAACGAAAAATCCTGCTTACAACGAAACCCCGATAACTGATGCTTAAGGTCATTTAAGTAGTTTTTCTAGCTATAATATGAATATTTATTTTTTGTTCTGAGAAAATATGACTTGTAACATTTTGTTTTTTTTTGTTAATAACATCGTCAAAAGAAAAATAAATTTTCATTGAATGTAAAATCATATTTTCCTTGATAATGATACATAGGAAAAATGATAAAGAGAAATAGTAAACAATAAATGGATTAGATAACAAAGTGAATACACGAATTTTTTTTTAGTGATAGTTATTTTCGTTAAGCATCTCCTTCGAAATTCATTTTAAGCCAGGAACATTCACATCACATAAAATGGTCCAGACATGTTGAAACTGTAGCGAAAAATATTTTCTATAAGCAATCTCTTAATGTTCATTTGATGTAGGATTGAAAGGCAGTTTCCATTCACACCCAAAATTTCATTACGGGTTTATAGCTTCAGTCTCAATACATCGTTAAAACTTCATGTAATTGAAACATTCGAGGGCTGAAATTGATTATGAGGGAAAGAGGGGAAATGAAAAAAAAAAATTGCATAGTCAGTTACAACATATGTTTTAGCATTAAAATTTTCTGATTGAATACACTTCGTGACATGAATATGATATATAGTAAAACAATATACTTGTCGACTTTATATTACAATGATTCTTAATATCACACATAAGTTTTATGCTCTTTTGCTTTTAGCATCAATAAGCTAGAAGTTTTCTCTTAACGGAATGTCTATTTATTACTATCAAAATTCTTATGACAAGTCTGAATTACTTTCTATTGTTCTCATCGGAAGAATCCATACATCAAAAATTTGAGAGTATTACATAACTTGCAAATGATTCTTATGATCACATATTATAATATATAAGTTGATTATTGATAGATCTATTGAGTTGAACAGGATGTCACTGAAAATCTCTGAAGTCGGTGTGGTCTAATGGTTATGATAAAGCACTCTAAATGCTTTGACCCGGGTTCAATTCCCGGCACCGATAAATTTTTTTAAAAATTTCACTACTCATGACAGATATTTCGTAATTTCATATTCTTTTTCTCTAGCAAAAGAAAAGGAACAAAGAACAGTGGAGTACTTCTAAATAATTTATGTAGCTAATAATAAACATTGCTTCTTTCAAATATTCACAATAAAAAAAAAATTACATATATACAGATATAAAATCATTTCATTGACGTTTCCATTAAACATTTTCTTCAAGATAAAAAAAAAAAATAATCTAAATATTTATTAATCTAAACAAGAAAAAATAGAATTTTATTTGATACTTATCTAATAATATTTTTTCGATTAAAAAAAGACAAAATAAGAATGAATTAGTTTTAATATTCATTAACATTCAATAAATTTTTCTATATCATACACGCATGGAAATTTATGTTACAATCAAAGAGGAAAAAAAAGGCAATAAATCAACGTTTAGTAAGATTTATTTCGGTCATTAAATGTAATTATATATTCATCATAGATATTTCAACATGCCTTAAATAGCAAAAATTTCTATTGTGACCTTTTTGATCTAAGCTATTATATCAAGCAGAAAGCTCCAATAAGATAATGTTATGCTCAATTACGAACGGATCTTAAGGTCAAAAAGTCTTCTATAAATATTATTCTGTTTTTTTTTCATCAATTAGAAAAAGGACAAATTGGTTTTTTTTTGTTTTTTTTTTGTATCGCAATGTACTTTTAAATATCGAGGGTTAAATTCTTTCGAAATATCGACATTCTTTTATGACTACAAGAAATATAATTGCATCCTTTTTATAAATGTTTTTCTTTTGTAACTGAAATAACCCTAGATAAATATTTCCGAGAAAAATAGAACGGAAATATTTAAAAGCAATTTGTTTTTAGTAATTATAACAAAAAGAAAAAAAAATGGTAGATATTTAAAAATTGAAATTTAATCATAGAATTGTTATCAAACTTTAATAGATGGAGATGAATAGAACAAAGGAAAGATGTCCACTTTCTTTTTAAACAATGGTTCTTTCAATTATGATATATTCAATTTTATTCACTTAGTTAATACTCAATGAGGTATATAGATAAAGTAAGATATATAGTTCGTTATCTTTTGAATATGTAATTTGATATTTTTAAGTAAGAAAAAACTCTTAACTACATTTTCTATTGTTATTTTTGTGTTGAAATCATCAATTGATAGCATTTTTACTATACGTTATTGTTTGTTTTGTACATCTTACATAACGAACGTCGAAGAATAACATAAGATGTAGTTAATGAAACTACAATCTAATGTTTGTTCTCGTCTTTTTTTCTCTATAGCATTCATCTAATTTTAACAAGTAGACCAATAGTGACATTTAGCAATCATTGAAAGTTGATATTCATTAAATATAGGTCTTTTAGGTTTTTTTCATTTAATCAAATATGATTTTCTTCTTCGTCTTTTGTCAATAAATATCTATATATGATGATGATGATGATGATGATCAAATTCTGGTAAAAAGTCCCACCCATGTTGATGCATGCCCGCCTTTAGGCGATAAGAAAGGAAAGTGTATGTTTGTGCAACACTGGCTTCGTCGCTTCACATCCGATCAGCTATCCATCTATTTAACTATCTCTCTAGTGAATGTTGTATGCATGTGCGTGCCAATTAGTGCATCGATCTGTAAACAACATCGAGCTTCTTTTTCTACTCTATCTATCACATACGGCGAAACCCATTGGCGCCGGTATAGATGTGCGAAGATAAGAGATGAAGTGCTTGCATGTGTTTGTCTGTTTCGTTTCTTTACTCATGACATGCACATTGTACAATTGCCTAAAGGAAATCTTTATATTACAAGAAAGTTTTTCGTCATTAAAATCTATATTACATTTTACCATTATTAAAAAGGTTACTAGTCTAATGTTCTTTTTTATCTCAAAGAAAAAGAAAACGATGATAATGATAAGTGTTAGGTCTTTTAATATATGTGTTGTATGTGCCTACGTGCGTTGTCAGAGTATTTTTTTTTTCTTGTAAACAAATGATGATGATGACGACGTGTGATTACTTGCTAATCAGGCTTTGCTTCGCTTACTAAGACAAGATAACTGAAGCAAGGCCAATATGGATTCTGTCATCACCATCATCATCATCAATGAGGTTGAATCAATCTGGAATATATATATATATGTATATATGTTAATACTTTCCCTTTTATTCGAGAATACAGAAAGAAAAACAATGAAATAGTCTTGTAAGTATTAAACAAAAAAACAAAAATTGACTATTGAAATACAATAAATTAAAATTAAGATTTTCAATATCCGCGTTGATAATTTATATGTTACTATTTCTTCAACATAAATAAACTATATTGATGACATGAATTTCTAATTTATCAATGTAAATAGAGATATATAAGATAAGACAGTTGTTATTTTTTCTGTTGATGATTATTAAAAAAAAAAAAAAGAAGCAAAGGGAAATTCGACGAGGCCTAGATTTCTAACTTATTGAAGAATATTACTGATATATATATATATATATATATGTGTTTATATATTCTTTTTTTTTTTCTTCACAACAAGACTAATTACCCATTCAATGACATATGTTTATCATGATGAAATTTGTCATTTACTAGTAAAACAAATCAAAAGAATGAAATTAGTTAGTTCGTATAAAAGAAAAAACTAAATCGATTTCATTAGTTGCATATATATCAACATTATCTAAATGAGTTTTTTTCATCTCTGAAAAAAAAAGTAATATATCAAGTCTTTTAACTTTCATGCAATATATTTATATTTATATATATATCTTTTCCTGTCATCTTTTTTCTTGTGATACTTAAAAAACAAAGTCTTTATTATATGATTTCTTTCTAGCTTGTGTCAGCTCATTTGTCTTTCGGTAAAAATGTGTTGTGTACACGTAGAAATGCATCTCTAAGTAGTGATAGAAGTCACATAAAAAAAAGAATTATAACATACATTTTTTTTCCTGTATATGCTCGTACTGGCGTTTCTTTTACATGACATCAATTAGTAGCATCTTGCAAGCTAAGCAACAATTCTTAATGGCCTTTCCCGTTCCATTTTTTTTTTCTTCGTTTTTTTTCTCTATCTCTTTTGTCCCTCTTGACATATAGTATGGAAGATCCACCTTGGATAGATGAGATAAAACATAAGATAAGCCGATAGTAGTCACACAAGGGACACATGCATTTCTTGCGCCGGATATAGTCATAGCAATTTCCTCTCGTTTTTTTTCTTGAATGTCTGCGTGTTTGTCAATCAAATCCCTCTGGTCAAAGTAAAAAAGAAAAAGACAGAGAGAGAGAGAGAGAGCGAGAAAAAAGAAATAAAGACAGACAAAAAAAAGAGAAGTGGCAGTCGTCCATCTTGATGAAAGTGTGTGTGTGTGCATTCCGTATTCTTTCTCTATTCAGACACTCTCATATTTGCGATACTAATGATGTTCAATTCAGTGCAAGCAGCGATTGCATCATTGTCACGTCGTTGATAATAGTTTAAAAATATAGATCTCATCATCAAACTAGTCTCGAGCTCTCATCAGATTGATGTGTATATGTGTGTATGTGTGTGTATTATTAGTTATCGTTTGTAATCCCGATTCTCTTTTTTTTCTCTCTCTCTCTCTTTCTTTACATCTTTTTCAATTTATACAACATTTGGTGGGTGCATGTGTATTTGTGCCTTGTGTAAATTTACTTTATATATGTGCGCTTGTCTTATTTACTACCAATACTGTCATTCAAGCTGTTGATGCTTGCTGTAGCTTGTTTTTGTCGTTCGCTCATTCGTTTTGGCGTCTATCACATTGCATTGCGAAGTGTTAGGAGTATGTCAAGAACGGAAAGGTAACACGAGCATGGCTTTCTTTCTTTTTTTTTCTTCATGTCTTTTTTTTTCCCTTTAACTCTACCGAAAAATATTATCTCGTTTGTATCAAACTAATTTAATGATAAGTTTAGAAAATAATAATATTCCCATTATGAGTTTATATATGAA